AAGCAGAGCTTCTAGACTATGGTCCTATTAATGCTTCCCAGGAAACATCCATTTAGGGCATTGTCTCCTGGCCTGCTACTTCTCTCAGCTAGTTCAGATAAGAACTCATCTGGAAGAAGGGCAACAGCCCCAACCTATCCCAATCCAACTTAGAGCGCAAGCCCCCCAAATGTAGCTGCTCAAGTTTGCAGTCCTACCTTGTTGTCGTATCTCATTCACTAAATTTGAAGTCAGAGGATGACTCTCGTGGCTTGGCCTACAAGGTTCACAGCTAGCTTGACACACACCTAAGAGCCAAGCTGACTTTATTTTTTCCCATGCTTCTCTAGCCTCCACCCCTTGTGGCTGGCATAGGGGTGGCAGCTGTGGCCCCTGGCCAGCTTGTCAAGATTCAATAATGCTGCAGTCATAGCAGAAATTGAAGTTGGTGGGGGGTGGGGGCACAGGTGGTGGCTGCTCGGGGATGGGCACATTCTCTAGCTCCAACAATCGCAGCTTGGTCTCCATTGTCAACAGCTGCTCCAGGTCCAGCCGGGTCTGCTCACTGCCCATAGGGCTGCCTAGCAGGGCATTCAGCCCATCTGTCCACAGATAGTACTGAGGACGATGGGGCCAGCTTCATGAGAGACTGTTCAATCTGCTCCCCTACCCATCTGCTCCACTCAGCCTCACCCAGACACTCACATCACGTTTGGAGGGGGCAATGAAGTTGAGGTATGCCTCCTCCTCCCCGTGGTCATAGCTGATGGAGAAAGCCAACTCATAAAGATCCTAGGGAAGCAGAAAGCAGGGACATTGAGCATGGACTAGTGCAGGCATGCAAAAGGAAGCCGCTGGTCCCACTATATATACCTTGTTCTGCTTCCCGGAGCCCTTCTCCCGGACATGGGGGCAGTCCTTGCCTGTCAGGAGTGCCCTGATGTCAACAACAGGGACTGCAAGAAGAAATACTGGGCTGATCACTGGGGCCCCAGACAGCCCTAGGGCATGGGGCATCTGGAGAGAGCAGGTATTAGACCCCTGGCTGCTTACTCTGCTCGGGCAGGCTCTCTGGGGTGGGTGGGTTGGTACCTTCCTCTACATCCCCATACTGCAGCACCTTGTGGTTTGGGGACAAGCAGCAGAACCACAGCTTGTCTGTGCAGAGAACAAGGAAGAGGGAAGGAAGGAATGATGAGAGGGGGCCCTGGGACCAACCCAGCTACCTCTGCCTCTCCTCAGCACACTCAGAGACCCTGGCGCCTCCTGCTGCTGATCTTGCGGAAGAGAGTCCCCTCGCAGAGGCGGAGCAAACGCTGCTGGCGGATCAAGCTCATGAGCTCTGGCTTCAGCTTCTCCCTCAGCTCTCTGGGTGGGAAGTGGGGAGTCACAGATCAGGACTGACCTGGGGCACCTTAATAGGTGGGAGCTGGCACTGGAAAGCCATTCTACCAACTCACAGTATGGGAGGGGCCAGTGTGCCCTCCTGGTGCAGTCGCTCTGTCTGCCTCAGCCGCAGCACCTCCCCGTAGGTGAGCGCGTTCACCTTGGTTCGGAAGAGCTCCAGGGACGTAGGCTTCAGGGCCAGCGTACGAGCCAGCTGTTTCCGTACCACCTGCATAACCTGGGGCCACCCTAAGCTCAGCTTGGGACCTGAGCTCTGGGGCCCTCCTCAGAGCAACCTCCTTCCTTGACCTCCCAGTCCTCCCACCCCACCCCACTGACCTTGTCAAAATCTTCCTGTGTTGCCCTCATCTCTTTCCAGGTCTTATTTAGCAGCTGGATGGCCACACAGAAAAACTCATGAAAACTCTGGTCCTGTCCGAAGAACATGGGCGAGAAGTCCTGGGCTGTCTCGGAGCCTGGAGCGGGGGGGCAGGAGGGGCTCAGGGAGAAGGTGTGTGCAGCCCCTGGCCCTCTCTGCCCTTCCGTCCCCTGTCCCCAGATACACTGCCCAGCTCCACTCACAAGGTTCCCCAACACGGAGCAGCTCACACAGTAGCACAGTCAGCTGGATGCTGCTCCGGGCAAAGGGACACTCATGTTTGTCCTCCCGGCTGCTGTTTTCCAACACGAACTGGGGTAGTGGGAGCAGAGAATGGGACAGTCTTGGCTAAGCCCACAGGGATCCTGCCAAGGTGAGGCTACTGCCATCCCCACTCCCCTACCCGGTAACTGACCCGGCTGTATGCACTGGGTGCATGTCTGGAGAAGTACAGCATGTTGTCCAGGGCCAGCAAGCCTGGGGGCACACGTTCCAGGTCCTGCGCAGGGTTGCTGTTCTATGGGTGGGAGCACTTGCACTCAGAAAGGGCCATAGCCTCTGGTATAGTCATAGCCTGAATGGAGGCCAAGGTGGGGACTTGGGGTAGGGGTCACTCACAGAGAAGCCCAATTTGCGGAATTCTCGGGCACAGAGTGAACGTCGACGGTCAGCACTCAGCCCTGTGCTCAAGGACTCCCCTTCCAGTTCAAAGGCAGCCTGGCGCAGGGCCTGCAGCTGTTCCCTCTGCTCCTGGGGTCATTATTGGGGGGAACAATATCATAGATTTAAGGTCAAGCTTCAAGCTATCCCAAGCTTCAAGCTGTGCCCCACCCACCTCCAAGACACACCTGGCTATAGGGGTCAAGTGGTGTCCGCATGCGTGGCTCCAGCAGCCCCAGTGTAAGGGCCTGCAGCACATACAAGTGATGGGCCATCTCATCACCCAGTGGTGTTGCACTATGGATGATGTTCTGGAGGAAAGACAGACAGACAAAGGGTTTGAGGTGGGCTTACTGGGAGAAGAGGCGTGGGGAGGGGTTTCCCTAGTTTCCTACCTTGTAGATGAACTGGCGAAGGTTTCTCTGCCACAGGTAGTCAAGCATGTGCTGAGGCGGATGGGAAGGGGAATTAAATGATTTAATACTGGGGTGGAGCACAATGCCCACCAGCTGATCCCTCCAAGCAGCTACCATATAGATAGATACCTTCCTTTCTGTAGGGTTGGCCCCCTGCAGCAAGGCTGTAAGCAGGGCCATTGCCTTGGTTTGCAGCTGCTGGTTCATCCTATAGCAGGAGGAGGGGTGGGCTCAGCTTAACACCCAGGATCTCATCATGCTCCCCCATCTATACCTCACCCCAGAGCTTACACCTGCAGGTGCACCAGTAGCCTATCCAGTGGCACCTCACTCTTGACCAGCTGGCCCAGGGCAGGGCTGCTCAAGGTCACACTCTCCAGCAGCCGAAGGGCCAGGGGCTGCACAGAAGCATCCATCAGGTTCATGTTCACATAGCATACCACCTGTAAGAGGGGTAGGGTATTGTTGCCACCTGACCACCACAAGGGGCAGACCCTGGCACTGCCCAACTGCCCTACCCACATCCCCTAGAAAAGCCCACCCACCTTCCTGACAAAAGGGATGCTGAGCGTCTCCCAGGACACCACACCGTGCTCCATAAGCTCCAGGAAGGCCTTCAGCCCGAGGGCTAGCACCTCTCCTAGGCTGGGGTGGGGGGCACATTTGGGGCTGAGCAGGACCAGACCAGGCCCCCCAAGCCCTACCATGTCTCCATCCCTCCACAGCCCTGTGCTCACTCGTCCCCATCCTCAATGATGGTGCCTAGTCTCTGAAGCCCATCACGGCTGATGACCTCCTGGGCAAAGGTCATGTCTGTGGCCAGCAGAACCAGGTGCCTCAGGGCTTCCTGGCGCACTTCTCGACTTGGACTCTGCAGCCCACCCAACAGCTTCTCAGCCTCAAGGTCCTGGCAGGAGTGGGAAGAGAGCAGAGGTGGAGTTTGGAAAATTAAGGACTGGAAGAGTAGGAACCCAGATTTCCACTAGGTGGGGCACTGCTGAGCTGGGGCCAGACCTAGGGCAGAGGCCACCAGGCACTTTAAAGGAGTGCAGTAGAGAGGCAGGCAAGAGAAGATGGGGCCAAGAGGGGCATTACTGGGGCAGTGCTGAGGCACAGGATGCTGCCATTCTTGATCTCTCCGCGGTTCTGCAGAAAACAGCAGAAAGGGGAAACACAGTCAAGGAGAGTTCTGAGGGTGATCAACTGGGTTGTCAGGATTAGGGGATCAGTGAAATTCACTTTAGGAGAGGGGGAGGATGAGTCTGCAGAATCAGGGCCAGGTGGGTTAGAGAGGTCATAGGGTGGAGCATGGGGGCTGGAGAACAGGGGGACTAACATTCTCAGTGATGTATCTCCTGTGCCCATCAGCAAACTGCAGGGCGTACCGCTCCGAGTGAGTCAGGCTCCACCTGCGGGTCACAGAGCTCAGGGAGGCAGGTAGGAGGCTTCCTCCCACTTGCCCCTCCCCCACCCCTTGCCGGCCCACCGGACTCACGCGTCGCACACCTCCTTCAACACAGCGGCCAGGGGTTTTGCCTGCAAGTGGAGCTGTCATTCACGTGGCGGGAGTGGGGAAGAGTTGGGGGATGGGGGGCTGAATAAGGAGGGCTGAGCTGACCCGAGGGAAATGGGTGACCCCAGAGGTGGGCAGTGGGCAGGAGGCCGGACAGGCCGGATGACCTGGTCCAGTTGGATGAGCTGTGGGATGGCGTCACGCATCTGGACAGCAATCTTCACCACATTCCGTGGGGGCGCCATGGTCCAACCCAGCCGTGGGTGCCTGCACTTTCCACGAAATGTGCCACCTCCTGCTGAGGGCGCACCTGCCCCGGAGTCCCTGAGGACGAGTAGGGCGTTCCTCTGTCCGCGACCTGGCTCCGGTGGCACGCACTCACCGACAAGGCCCCCACTCCTGGCCAGAAGCCGCGGCCTTCCCAAGGGAGCCAAGGCTAGTTCCGGGTTGGAGTCCGGGGGCAGGAGGGTAGGCCAGCGCCCGCCCAGCCCGCCTGCCCCAGCAAGACAGCCCCGCCCCGCGCCAAGGTGTGGCAGGTGGGGGTGGGGAGGGCAGGCTGCCTGCTGCTGCTCCACTTCCCATTCCAGCAAAGTGACCCAACCCAATCCTGCCACCAATCCAAAGTAGTCCCAGAGAGGGGCCCCAAAAAATCAGATCAGAGATAGCCTTAGGCATGGTCTTTATTTATTTGGACACTGTACAAATATTACAATTTCCTTTTGCTGCAAAAAGTATAAAAATAATCTTTATATAGGAATCCATTCGTTACTGTAAATCTTTCTAAATCTCTGCAAATGGCTCTAAATGAGGGTAAATGAATAAATGGAAATGAAGGGGAGCTACGGGGTATCAGGCCTCAGGGACTGACCTGCAGGGATTTCTAGCTAAAGACCTCAGTTCCTTCTTGTTAGCACCCCCCACCCACCACTGCCACCTGCAGGTTCCCAGGGCTCAGGGCCCAGCAGAAGTGGGGGGCACATGAGAGGTCCAGGAGAAGCTTGGGGTAAGTGGGTGATTAAGGAAGCTAGAGTATTGGCTGGCAAGTACCCAGCTCCATCCTGCCTTTCCCTCTTTTTGGGGAGAGGGGCTGGCAGGAGCAGGGCAGTGTGCTGGACAAGGTGCCCTATGGGGACAATGACAGGTCAGTGCCACTGGGTAGCAGCTGAGCCTGGGATGGGGGAGGCTCCAGAAAAGAAGAGGCAAACACTTTGGCTCCATGATGGAGAGGGCTGAGCCCCTTTCCCTTGCTCTACTAGCACAGTACAAGCGCCAGTGCAAGAGGTGTGGCCAGAACTGCAGTGTGGGAAAGCTGGGGAAGCCAGGAGTCTGTGGCTCTCAAGCCTTTTAAGGGCAGGGTGGGGGGAAAGTCCCCAGGCAGCCCCCAACTCAGACAGTCTGGGTTCCAGCCATTCGGCGTATATCCCTGTCAGAGGTTGAGAACAGGCACGTCAAAGAGATCACAGACACCTTCACTCTCGTCCAGGTTGTAGATGTAATCGTGGTCTCCAGGGGGTGGAGAGAGACGAAGTAGGGGGGCAAACACTGCAGAGAGCACTAGGCTAAGGCCCTGTGCCAAAGCCCCATCCAATAGCCACCCAAGCTCCTGCCCACAGCCATCCACTTTCTGAGGCCCCACCTCTCCATACCACCCACCTTCTGAGGACATCAGCTCCTCCAGCAGCTCTGAGCTCATACACTCTGAAAATAGAGAGAACACAGTGACATTCTAGCTATACCACTTCACTCATCAAAATCCATGAAAGATTCCCCTAAACCCCAATCAGGAGATTTTACCCTTTGTCCTGAGTACCAAACACAACCAAAAGGTCCTCAAAAGGGACAAACAACAGCTGTGACATGCAATGAATCACATTCCTTATCCCCAACACCAGAAGGAATGCAGCCTACCTCGTGTCGGGTCAAAGATTTCTGACAGCTCTTTGGGGAGTTCCAAAACTGAAAGACAAGAAAGTCTCGGTTGAGCTGGGCACCGTGGTGCACACCTGTAATTCTAGCGGCTCAGGAGGCTGAGGCAGGAGGATGGCAAGTTCAAAGCCAACCTCAGCAACTTATCGAGGCCTTAAGCAATCAGTGAGACCCTAGCTCTAAATAAAACATATAACCAAAAAATAATAATAATAATAAAAAAAAAAGGGGCTGGGAATTTGGCTCAGTGATTAAGTGCCCCAGGTTCAATCCCTGGTACCAAAAAATAAAAATAAAAAAGCCATGTTCAAGGTAGAGATCCAGCCTGGTCACAATAGAGGCCCCATGTTCCTCAGATCCTACTTCACCTACCCAGGGCTCCACATAGCTAAGGATCCAACCCAGGCCAAGCTGGTATTATTTTCTGATCTCTTCTGCTACATCTGAATTTCTCAGTGCTGAGCCCAGGGTACCAGACCCATTGCAGATGACTGGTATAGCTTTTCTAATTCAGAGGCTCTGAAGAGGGTAACAGACTTTTGTCCCTTTTTGGGTTCAGTGTGCACACCCTGTCTGGTGGAGGATGCCATACCCCATTCACTCCCATCCTTTTGAGCACCTGCTCTATGCTGGCCTCAGAGGCTACACCCTAGGTGGGGTCACCTGGAGGAGGTAGACACTTTGACAAGGGACAATACTACAGGGTGATGACCCCTACTACATATGGGAAGGATACACATGGGAAGAAAATAATACTGGAGAGAACCAAAAAGGATGCCATAAACCAGGTTTAGGAATTTGGATTTTTTTTTTTTTTTTTCCATTTTAGGGAACCATTGAAGATACTTTTTTTCATTTTGGTGCTGGGGATTGAACAGGGACTCCTGCATACTACCACTGAAGTGTATTCCCAGCCATGAAGGTACTTTTATAAAAAGAGAAATGCTAAAGTCAGGTTTATATTTCAGAAAAATCATTCTGTCAGTAAGGATTAAGAGAAGGATGCTAACAAGTTTGGAATTAAGGTGGCTAGTAGTCACCCTGAGTGCTGAGAATGCAAAAAGGATGTCTCAAGACAGACCTCACTAGGCAATGTGGGTTGGGCAGCAGAGAAAGAACTGGAGTAACACCCACGTGTCAAGACAGCCTGAGTGACTAGGGCCAGTGGTAGAGTGCCCATGGAGATGGAAAAGCAAATTTCAGGAGGAAAATGAGTTAAATTGAGGACATGTGGAAATGAAGCGTTCACTGGAGATGAAGAGGACAGTCAGTGCCACAGAGGTGTGGAGGTCAGGCAAAAGTTGTACACTAAGAGGAGGCTAGAGAATTCTTATACCTACATCCGGAGCCTTCCACAGTGTGAAACAGAACAGAGCAACTGGGATACACAGAAAGATGCAAGGACTGGCATAATTAAAGCCAAAGAGGGATAACATCAGCAGAGAACACCAGAGTCCAGCCTTACAGAAACCTGCTGGGTTCAGGACCACATTAAGAGCAGCACTACTACAGCTGGGGCAGGGACCCTGCTGGCTGTCAACTGACGATGATCGAGATAAGGAGGAGACTAGGGATTACTTTTTCCAGGGGTCCACATAGAGAAGAGACAAGGAAGATGAGATGGTGACATGGAGGAGCAAGTGTCAATCAGTGGGGTAAGAGACTCAGTGGTGCTTTTAGAGGTGACAGGCAGGGCTTAAGAGAAGGCCAGGGAGTTCCATGTTAGCCCAAGAGGGAGGCAAAAGGGCACTGGCACTGACTCAGAGGCCAGATACTGCTTTTGGCAGAGAGTGGTGATATCAGACAGGGGTTCAAAGCAGGGCTGGGTTTCAGCCCCAATTCTGCAGCAAACCTGTACTGGGCTAAGGCTAGACTCTCCCTGCTGGTGGGGTGGGTATAGAAGGGACAAGTACTCACCACCTGTCGGTTCCACCTTGATGGGGTCAAAGGAGGTAGAAGGGTTGGGTCCGGATGAACTGCTAGTGCTGCTGCTGCTACTACTACTGCTGTCCAGCAGGGCAGAAGACTGCAATGGCCGGGTGTCCAGTGCTGTTGGGCCTAGAGGGAGTGAGCCGAGCTCACCATTGTCTTTGCTGTCAGTTCCAGAGCCACCACTCACTGAAACAACATTTCCCAAACCCAGTCACACAGTGGGCAGAAAGTGGGTCATTGAAATTGGCTGGGTAGAATCCATGGCCAGAAAGACCACAGTTCTGGCTTCCAGACTGGTTTCCAAGAATTAGACACTGCCAGTCACTCCAGAGGAGTTAACCTGGAAACAAGTCATTGAAGGAGACAGAGGCACAAGTCCTATAAGGAGGAAGACTCCTGGACAACATGGGTCCAAGAGGGGTTGCCAAAGTAGGTCAGACACTGTCAGATCTTCCCTGTTTAAAAAAGCTTATTCACTTCCATGGCAAGGGGGGTTAGGTGGGGACCAGGGAAAGACCAACCCTGACAGTCTAATCCAATTCTTGAGTATGGCACCCCGCAACAGAGGTATTGCTTCTCAGGCCCCAGAAGATAACCCCGACACCAGCTGCCCACTAGGCCTCACCTGTGATTTCAGCTGCTGGACCCGTTACCCCTGGGACTTCTGTGTTGCCAGGAACATGGATGGGAGTGGTAAGCTGGGGACTACTTGGACGTGAAGTTTCCTGGGGCTGAGCTAAGGTAGGCTTGGGCAGAGGTGGAGGGGTAGGAATAGCAGGTGGGCTCTGAAGCAGATCCTCAGGTGGTGGCACAGGCACAGCCACAGGTGGCGAACTCAATGCCTCTTTATTCACAAGCAGCACTTCAATGGGGCCACTCATACTCTTCAGGTGAATCTGGTACTTCTTCTGCCCATTGAGACCCTAGAGGTGGATGGTAGGGACAGGTAGAATTACAAGCAGGCACGGCTCCTGCTTGACCCTGGGTCAGGGCAACAGTGTCCTCACAACCAGGCTGCCCATCCTCCGAGATAACCCCAAACCCCAGGCCTCCCCTTACCTACCCCACCCTTGACTTATCAGACTCCACAGCCAGCACCCGCCCTCAGTTGACACCGCCTGACTGGGCTGAGTACCCACCTCTGGGATGGGCACCTCTAGGCTGGTGCCTGATGGGGCACGGATGGCCAGGAGGGTGTCTCCTAGAACGAGAATGGGTGAGCTGAGAATGGAGGTGCCTGTCCCTTGGAGCAAGGTAGGAGATCAGTCTCTAAGGAACTAAACAGACCTCCACCATACCCACAGTGACTGGGCAGAGCTAAAGTGCTTCTCTCTCTAATAGTCCAGGTCAGTAACCAGGAAATATGGTTCAAACACATTTGTGGAGTGAAAGATCATTGACCATGGGCATCTCACTTTTCAAGTAACAATCCTGTTCCCTAGGAATGGTGTTTTGGCCAAGGCTTATGTTCCTTTCCCAGAACCAATCTGAGGAATACAAAATGGATACAGGGTAATAGCTCCTGTATCCACAATGCAACTGAATTAACTACAGGGTGGAAGTGGGGACCACTGTCCCCTGCATATGTCACCCACAAACACATATACACTCTCTTCCTTGTGCTACTGTCAAGACAAACCCAGAAGTCAATGTTGATGGGGGCAAACCCAGGGACCCACCCCAGAATTCTTGCGTTCACTCATATAGCAGGCCCCAGGGACTATCTTAAGAAATGGAACTCTCCTTGGGGACTGAGTCTGATACTCAGGGCTGTGGCTCAGGCTAGCCCTACCCCATCTCCCCCTACCCAGGCTCTGCTCACCAGCAAAGCATCTGCAGATGTCCTCATGAGTCACGTAGGCCAAGGTGTGAGGGTTAAGGAGAACCGCTGATGCCCTACCTGTGATGTCAGATGTCAGACCACAAAGGAGACCCAACACTTTAGCAAAGGTGTGACACACACACACACCCTCAGGGGAAGTTCTGGGGCCTGGGTCCATGTGGGGAGATCATAGGCTAGGAATGGAAGGGGAAGGGCTCTGAGAAAGGAGCCTGAAGCTAGGACCTGGCTATGAGGCTCCATCCTCCCAGGAGGGACAGGGCCCAGGACACCAAGGAACAAACCCAGCTGAACCAGGGGCCCTTTGCCCCCTCCCCCAAAGCAGGGACCGCCAGGAGGATATCAGCTGTTCTGCACGTCCTCTGTGACATTCCGGATGCTTTGTTGCACCCACACCTTGTGCTGGTCAAGTTCTTGCTCCCGCTGCTGCAGCTCCTCAATTTCTGCCTTGAGCTCAATTAGCTTGTCGGCAATCTCTCGAGTGTTGCAGCCAGGCCCCACACCCCTGAGTGGGGGAATGAGACTGAGAGGGACTGCCAGGAACTCCAAGTCCCATGGCCCCTGCTCTCAATGGCACCCTCCACCCCGTGACCCTGACACTTCTGGGTAGGTGACCACACTGCTTTCCCAGATATCCCCACTCACTTCCACTGGATGCTGTTCTTGGATTTTTTCTCGATCAGCCCAATACCTTCCAACACGTTGGTAATGTCATAAATCCGCCGCTTCTGGCGCACAGCTAAGGTGTCAGCTGCCTGGCGGGCAGAAGAGAGTAGAGTGCTCAGCCTCACTCTCAGATGTACCCCAGCTACCTTGAGATTTGGTTTGGGTGGTCTGGGAAGGATGTAGCCTGGGTTCCAACCCGCTGTAGTGCCTCTAGGCACTTCAGGAGCTCGGGACCCCGGGGTGGGGAGACCTGGCACAGCTCTGAACTGGGATGTTTTGATGCTCTTTACCCCTCATCTGTCAGGGAGGGCACGAGGGCTAGCACCTGCAGCCTGGAGCCTGGCACACAGGTGAAGCTCAGTGGCCTCGGCCGAATGAATGAAACAGCCCCCGGCCTCTCTCCTGCGAGAAAGCACACGGATGGCGGCCAGCTCTCAGAAGACTCAGCGGGCACGTCCAAGGGTTCCCGCTACCGGCGCAGGCCTGGCCCACCATCCTGCTCCCCCTGTTGCCCCTAAGCCCGTGCCGCACCAGCTTGAGGTCAAGCACGCCGTCCTTGGCCTCCTGCAGAAGTGACACGAACTTCGTGGTGAGAAGTCCCAGGCTCTTCTCATGCCGGCTTGGAGTGCCCGGGGGCGGCGGCGCCTGTGGCCCGGCCTCCGCCATCGCGCCCGCCCGCCGCCTCCCCTCAGCCAGGCCAGGCCGGCGCCGCCGCCACTTCCGCTTCCGTTCCTTGCCGCCGGAGCCACCGTCGCTACTTCCGCTTCCGCCTCGTGTCCTCCCAGGGAACTGGCGCAATTCCTGTCTGCAAACAAGGGCGTAAAACTTCGGGGAACATCCGTAAATATTCAAGTGCCGAAGAAGACGAAAACAAGCCCTGACAAGTGGGGGAGGGATGTGGAGGAAGTCCGCGAGCAGCCCCGACAGTAGAGAATAGGAAGCCGTCGGAATCTTCCTTGCCAACCTGGCCCCAAACCATCTGCCCAGCCCTTTCAGGAGAGACTACACTGTCTGATAAGTCTAGCCTGCTCCCCAAAAACTGTTGGAAAAGGCTGCCTCACTGATTTGGGGTCACCAACCCTCTTTCTGCCCCTTACTTCCTGCCAAGCAGCAAGCGCTAACTACATCTAGCTTGACCACTTCTCTTTATCCCTGCCCTCCTTCCATGGTCCCAGGGTCATCTTCTTTTCTGTCCACACTACAGTGCTCAGAGGTCGTGGAACTCTTTTACAACAACTTCTCTGCCAATACAAAGCTGTTTACCTTTGTAAGAATACAAGTAAGACCTCAGAGCACTTCCTGGCATGTTGCAAGAATTATGTTTTTGCTGGTATGTTTTGTTTATTTGTGATAATGGAGATTGAACCCAGGGGCATTTTACCACTGAGCTATAGTCCCAGCCCTTTTTATTTTATTTTTTTATTTTTGAGACGGAACTTTCCATCCTCCTGCCTCAGCTGAATTAGTTGGGATTATGGGAGAGCGCCATGGAACCTGACTTTTTGTTATTTTTAACATGGTTATTACTTATTATTGTTGTTATTTTAGGTCAAGTTTTCTGGGAAACAGACTTTGAAACAAGGATTTGCTGGCATCAAGTCTATTGAGGATCCACCTTGGTAAGGGAGTAAGACAAGCGGAATTATGAGTAAGATGCAATTATAATAGAGGCCTCAGCACAGCCCACTAGCTCTGAAATTAGGGTAGACCTTCTCAAGTGTTCCAGTCTTTGTTGTTGTTGTTGTTGTTATTGCAGTTCTAGAGATCAAACCCAAGGCCTCATCTGTGCTAAGCTAGCACTCTACCACTGAGTTACATTTTCAGTTCAGGTACCCAGCCTTTGTACCCTAGTATTGATTCAGAGCCTTACACTTGGTAGCTGTGAAACTTCAGCAGATTACACTATGGGCAGCTGGGGAATGAGGGCCTCTGCCCTGAAGGATGGATTTGGGTGTTGCACCAAATATCCACTAAATTATCGCTATCCTGTAGTCCCTTCCATGGCTCTTATTACTCACAGAATTAACACAGCCATCAGACCTCTATCCTGCCATCACTCACTGTGCTCCCTCTTCACTACAGTTTATGACCTCTGCTGTGCAGAGGTACACAGCCTCCTCCCAGGGTACACTTTACCCTTCATCCCAGGTTGAGGCTGAATCTACTTCATGTCTTTGCTCTGATCACTAAGAGGGCTTGTCAAGACTTGATGATCACAGGGAGTAGAGCCACCCCCCCACCCCCGCCCCTCGGGAAGTGGCGCCCAGCACTCCCCACCTCACTACAGATGCTCTTTCCTGTTGGGAATAAAATGCCAGAGACTCAGCTTCCTTCCTTTCTGCCTTGGGGAGGGAGGGGCTTCTGGCCTGGGAAGTGGAAGAGAGGCTTCCTTGGGGAGAGGAATTCTGCTGTTGTGTGCCAGAGTGGTTGGAGTCACCCAGGCCCCGTGAACAGTGAAGGGCGTGCCCAATTCTGCCTGGGCTAGAGGGTCATTCTCAAGGTCAAGGCTGTTTGTGGAGGAGGGAGAACTGGACATCTGGTCAAGTCTGGTAAGTTTTGTACCAAACTTGTCCCGGCCATCTCAGAGAAGGAACAGGGTCTTTCAGATGCCAAGTGAGGCCTGTTTCCACCCTGCCTCACTTGGCATCGGCAGGGGCACATCCCACCAACCCAACAAGTGAAGTCCTCCCAGATGCCTCCCCCATCACACTGGCCTCCCTCTCATTTCCTGAGGGGGCTGGGCAAGAACCTCCCTTCTCTTCAGCAGAGCCTAAACAGAGGCAACAGCCTAAAGGAGACAAGGAGCATCCACTCTGTCTTCTCTAACCCAGATCCTCATCCTTGCTCCCACTTCATTTCCGACTCCTCCAGACCCGCGATGGACTCAGCGGCCAAGGACAAAATGAAGCCTGCACTTCCCTGTGGTATGAGCCCTGGTGGGTGGGTTGGGGGAGGGTTGATGGCAAGAAATATGGGAATGTGGTGTTTGGTCCTCCCTGCCAGGTCTGCCTGGATCTCTACAGGACAAAGAGGAGTGGATTGTCCTGGGAATGGACTGGGGAACAGGAAGGGCAGCATGTTTGGCAGCCACAGGCCCTCCCTGACTGACATGGTTGCCCAGGCTTTTCTTGCTCAGGGACTGAGTGGCCAGAGCAGGAGAGGGCAGAGCAGCTGGCCAGGGGTGCAGCACTCAAGTGGGCCTCAGGCATCTTCTACAGGCCAGAACAGCTGACCAGGCTGGGCCAGTACCGCAGTCGCGAGGTGCAGCGTACTTGCTCCCTAGAAGCACGTATTAAGGTAGGCATAGGACAAGGAACAGCAGAACTAGGAGTGGGCTTTAGGGCTGCCCAGGACTCACTGGCTCTTCTCTTCACAGTCAGTGGTGCAGTCATATCTGGAAGGTGTGCAGACTGGTGTGTGGCAGCTGGCCCGTGCCCTTGAGGCTGTGCAGGGAACCCGTGAAGCCCTGAGCCAGGCCCACGAGTTGCTCAAGAGTATGGCCCAGGCTTCACAGAGCCTAAAGCCCCTTCGGGAGCAGGTTTCCCAACACAAGCAACTACAGGCCCTGTCTCAGTTGCTGCCCCGGCTGCAGGCAGGTGAGTGTGCAAGGACTCTGGGCCTCAGCTTCCAATAATGAGTCCACAAATGCCCACCATTGATCAAGGGCTGGAGCTCTGGTGGGGGAACTGCACTAGGAACCAGCCAGAGAATAAACCAGGCTTCAAATGGCATATAAGGGGCTGGAAGTATAGCTCTGTGTAAAGTACTTGCCTAGCATGTGCTCAACCCTGTGTTCAATCCCCAACATCACAAAAATAAATAAAATTTCAAAAACAAAAACAAATGGCATGGCTGGGCATGATCATGCACACCTGTAATCCTGGTGGCTTGGAAGACTGAGGCAGGAAGATCACGAGTTCAAAGACAACCTCAGCAAAGGCGAGGTGCTAAGTAACTCAGTGAGACCCTGTCTCTAAATAAAATACAAAATAGGGCTGGGGATGTGGCTCAGTGGTTGAGTGCCCCTGAGTTCAATCCCTGGTACCCCTCCCCCCCAAAAAAACAACAACACACAAATGGCATATGAAGCAGCATGTGAAATCAGCTCATCCTGGGTTTCCCATGAATGGGATGTTTGAATGAGGATAATCCAGTCAAGTGGCTGTGGCTAGCCTGAACTAATATACTGCTAACATATTGAAATAATTCTCTAATGAGGTGTATCTATTTGGAGGTGAATGGCTTTCCTCTTGTTCTTTTAGCTCAAGTGTTTGCATATGACCCACCAGGCTGCTAGGATTTTGCCTGGATCCTTTCAAATTGGTCAAGACTGTACTGATTATTAAACATTTTATATAACACTCCAGTCTCAGAGCCTCAGTATCCCTTGCTGTATCCATTGCACAGGGGGGAAGGCTGAGACCCAAATCTGTCTTCTCTCCCCCATCAGTGCCGGCTGCAATGGCCCACACGCAGACCCTGATTGATGCCCAGAGGCTCTTGGAGGCATATGTGAGCCTGCGGGAATTGGAGCAGCTGCAAGAAGAGACATGGGCACCTTTGGGGGGCCTTGAGTTGCCAGTATTCCAGGGCCTGGGCCTTCTGGCTGAGGCACTGAGCCAGGCTGTGGAGACAGCTGCAATGGCTGCCAGGAAGCTGGCACGGGAAGATCCAGCCCTGCTGGTGGCTGCTATTCGTGTGGCAGAAGTGGAGGCTGGGCGCACAACTCCTGTGGGGCAGGCTCCCCGAGACTGGCGGCAACGCTGTCTGCGTGCACTACAGAGAGGCCTGGAGCAAGTCCACTTTTCAACAACCACACTTCCTGAACCAGGAGCCCTAGCAAGGTGGCTGGAGGCTCTGCAAGTGGCCCTGCCTGCTGAGTTGGCCACAGCAGAGGCACTAGTAGCACCCTGTTGCCCACCACACTACAAAGTGGTGCAGCTCTGGGCCCATACCCTGCACAATGGCCTGCGCCGCAGCCTGCAGCAACTCCTTGCAGGGCCTGAGCTGGGAGCTGCTGATGCCTTCGCCTTGTTGCATTGGGCACTTCACGTGTACTTGGGGTCAGTGTCCTTGGCAAGAAGTGGGAGGATTAGAGGTGGGGGAGAACTCAGTGTGACACAGGGCCACCCATCTCCAGGCAGGAAATGATGGGGAGCCTGGAGTTGGGGCCTGAGGCTGATGTTTCCCAGCTGGAGCCCCTCCTGACCTTGGAGAACATTGAACAGCTGGAGGCAACATTTGTGGCCAAAGTCCAGGTAAGTAGTTAGGGAAGAGACACTCTGCCCATCAGCTGTGGCCTTTATCTGTAGAGTTCAGAGCCTTCCTGTCTTTGGCAGGGTCACTACCCTGCTACATCCTGCCACCCTGCTGCCATTTGCTCTTTCTCCTAGGCAAGTGTGGCCCAGTGGCTGCAGAAGGCACTGGATGGGGAAATAGCTGAGTGGGGCCGGGAGCAGGAGCCCAACACAGACCCATCTGGCTTCTACCACTCACCAATGCCAGCTATCGTACTGCAGGTGGGTGAGAATGGCCAGAGAGGAGGGCAGAGCTCAGGGCTCTGCTGATGGTTGCCTATTTTTGCCTATAGATCCTGGCTGAGAACATTCGTGTGACCAGCCTGGTCAGTGAATCGCTACAGCAGCGGATGCATGGCATGGCACTGTCAGAACTGGGAGCGTTCTTGAGGAGGTCTGCCAAGCACGGACCCATTCCCAATCCCCACCCTGCTCCCAGGACAGCCTAAAGGGGATTTGAGTGAATAGTATACACCAATGGGAAAGGGATCCTTCAAACAGGATTTGGAAGTCGGGCAGGAGTACCAGGGCTGGGTTTGTGGGTGCACCACAGTAGCAGAAAGTCCAGCCACATCTTTCTGTTGCAGCTTCAGTGATGCTCTGATCCGATTCTCCAGAGATCACCTCAGAGGGGAAGCCATGGCCCCTCACTATGTGCCCTACCTCCTGGCCGCCTTCAACCACCAAACAGCATTGAGGTACTAGAAGGCCCCCAAGAAAAACTACCTTCACCCACCTGCTGCTGAGTTTCTATTAGGTACCAACCAGGCCCACACTAGGCCATTCAGAACTTTGAGCCCATATAACTCAGGGGTTCCAATCCTAGTTTTGTTATTTAATATCTACATGACCAAGTAACCTAATATCTCTTGAGTATTGATTTTCTCATTAATCAATACTCATTAGTATTCTGTGGGTAATAATGGAATGGTCTCAGAATCACATGAGATATTAGATGTATAATATCTACCACAGTGCCTGGCACATAGGGCCATTATTCATCCCTTCAGCAAATATTTATCAAGGCTATATTCTGTGCCCAGTTATGTCTGAGGTTACATTTGTGGACAGAAATAAGAAAAATTACCTTCCTCTTGAGTGTTGTGTTCTTTGTGATGGGGATAGGGAGAACAGACAAATTAATGATTGAGTTGTGCTCCTCCTGATTGGGATTAGCTCCCTTCCCTTATAAACGAGGAAGCAGAAACCAAAAAACTGACTTTCTCAAGGTCACATCGTGAATTAGAGGCAGGTCCCGCTGGGCTGTGTGCTTCTTCTAGCTTCTGAGAATACCCCTCCTAGCTTGGTCAGTACCTGAGACCTTCAGAGGGCAAGGAACCCCCTCCCGCCACACACTTGCGCCACAAGGTGGCGTCGGAGTGGCTGAACCACCGAGGCCCGTTCAGGCCTTGGCCTTGGTCCTGAAGTCGTGTTTTTGGTCCAGCTCCTCTGTGTCCAGCCTGCAACCTGACGGAGTGGCTTCAGGGATCTTGGCTCCGATAGAAGCCGCGCTGGACGAGTTGCAGAGGAGGATCTGCCGTCTAGTATTGGAGGCACTGCAGTTGGAGCTCCAGGTGAGGCTTCCTTCCCGTCGGAATAAGGATGGGAGAGATAAGGTGTACCTTTGGGATTCTCTGCAGGGACTGCCAGATAGGCTCATATCTCCAGCTCCAGTTCCTCTCATTCTTTCCTCAGCCTCTGTTTGAGTCTGTGCCCTCGCGCCGGTGGCTGTCGAGCTCTGAGTTGCTGGACTGTGTGTGCGATCAGACGTCGCGCTTCTGCCAGGATTTCTGGCGCGTGAGGAGCCCCGCGGTTAAAGTGCGTCCAGTGGAAAGGACTGGGAGGGGGCAGTCGGATGGGAGAGGCGATATAATCCCTCTGATCACCTGCCCTGCAGCTGCTGTTGGCAGAGGCAGAGCGCACCGTGGTATTGCAGTACCTACGAGCGCTGATGCAAGGCCGCCTAGTGTGCCGGGATGCAGACGAACGGACCCAGGCTGCCGAGCGTCTGCGGCACGATGCTGCCCAGCTGAAGGAGCTTTTCCTCCGTTTGGTGAGAGCTCGTTGGGAGGGCAGACGGGCAAGAGTCTCAGTGATTGGGTGGGAGCCTAGGGCGATCTGAAACCCCACTCCAATGTGCCCAGGGTCTGGAGGAGAACTCGCATTGTGCCCCGGTGCTGCTCGCCTTGAGGGAGTTGCTGAACCTGCGGGACCCCACGCTGCTTGGCCTTGAGGTGGCAGGCCTGAGGCAACAATTTCCCGACGTGAGGTGAGGGGACGGTGGAGCGGGGAAGGGGGAGGAGCCAGGGAAGGGAAGTGCAGGACCGATGCACCTCTGGTGTCACTACAGCGAGGACCATGTCTCTGCCCTTTTGGACCTGCGTGGGGACGTGTCCCGAGAGCAGCGTCAGGCTGCACTCATCTCCTTGCAGGACGGCTCTCCGCCTTCGCCCCTCACGGGCCACCGTGCACTCTTCAGCCTGGTGCCAGCGCCTACGCCCTCCTTCTCCTCCTGTCTTCCCTCGGGGCCCTGCTCTTGAAGCTCCCGTGCATGCAGAATAAAATATGAGCCACGTACGCCTGAATCTCTATGTGTTGGGAAAGGAGAGGGATGAAATAAAAATTTCTGTGAAATTTAGGGGGTTCATGCACACGCCTAAGGTATCCTGGCTGCAGTCCTGGCAATATGGGCAGCGCCTCACCTATCCAGACATTTTCCTCTCTGTGGACTATGTTCCGGAGTACTCGAGCTCCTATCGGGTACACAGATTGCGCCCCAGGTATTCACCCCCAGGCAATGACTAGTACTTCCACCTCCCTGAGTCCTGCCCCCAGCCGGGGCCTGGAAACTCTTCAATGGGACGGGTCGACAACTACACCCCGCCCAGTGGCATGGCGTGGTGCTGGACTCAGCCCTCTCAGACTCTCTTGGTGCACGTCGCCACAGATTGACAGGTTCCTCCCGATTTCGTGAGAGCGTGCGCGCGCCGGAGAGCGGTGCGTCATCGGCGTCAGCTCCCGCGGGCTGGGCGACGAGCGACCCGCTTTGCGGAGCGAGAACCGCAGGCGGCAAGCAGAGGAACAAACAGGTGGGGGCGCTGCACGCGGACCAAACCCCCTACCCAAACCCCAAGGCCGAGACTAGGCGCGCGGTCGACCCTTTTGATTTACCAGAGAACCACCCCCATCCCCGCTCCATTGTCTTTTGGCCCCGCCCTCCATTGGGCACGCCCTTCGCCCATCCCCCTACCGCTTATTGGCTGCAGGTCACGCCCCTCCTGGATCTCTTGGTTCCCATTGGCTTTTCAACGTAAACCTCTAGGCGCTGGCCACACCCCTCATCTGGAACCAGACCACGCCTTCAGTAGTCAAGGGCTCCTCCCCAATCCAGCCATTCATTCTGCATCTGGTGTTGGGTGCTTGAGACATGAGGGCGAATCAGACGGGTCCCCTACCCACCGGGAGTTCGAGGGATGGTAGGAGGACAGGGACCCAAGCTCTAGCAGTGACTGCCTAGGGCGGTAAAGAAACCATTGAGGCATTGGGACCTTGTAGACGCCCAGAAGGCTTCCCGGAGGAGGTGAGGCCCAAACGGAGCCCTGAAAATGGTTAAGAGTTTGTTCCAGGGAGACATTGCGGGGGCATTCTTGGCGGAAGGACCTGAAACGTGAAAGAAACAGGCGTATTCTGGTAATTGCGAGGAGGTAGGTCTAATGAAAGAAGGGGAAATGGAAGGGAATTGTCCAGGTAGCAGCCTGAAGACCAGTGTGGAGTCCAGGAAACTATTCAGTTAGTTTAGGGGAATGAAACCTGAGACCTGAAATAATCTTCAAGCAGCTGGTCACTGGACTGGGTGGAGGAGAGTGAGGAGGGGGAAGATAGGTCTAAATGAGGAAGCAAAGTGCTGGTTATTCTAATTCTGAGAAGGGCTCTTGAGTTCATTCATTGAGCTCTGGGTCAGGCACTGGGTTTTAGGGACACAGCTGTGAATGCTAGAAAGGTGAAAACAGGTAATTGTCAGATGTATCATAAAAATATAAAGCTTACAGCAGTACACTTTAGGTGATGATAGTGCTATGGAAAACAATAATTCCTGGCTGGGGGTGGATTGTGGTGAAGATGGGGGAGGAAGTTTATTATTTTATAGAGGTGCATTAAGGTGATTTTTTTTCTAGTACTGGAGATTGAACCCAGGAATACTTTACCATTGATATACATCCCCAGCCTTTTTTATTTTTTGAGAAAGGATCTTATTAAGTTTTTGAGGCTGGCCTTGAACTTGTGTGTGACTGGGATTACACCTGGCTAGAGTACCTTTTCTAAGATCTTGATATTTGTGCAGAGATTTTAGGGAAGTCACTTTCTATTAGTGTCATTATATTAAGGGGGCTTTCTAGACAAAGGACATATGCAGTTTGAGATGCCTTTTAAACAAAAATGTTGTATGAAAACTGGCAATACCTGTCTAAAGTTTATGCAAGAAATTTGAGCTGATGACTCATATTGAGGGCTGAGAGTGAGGGCTGGGGGTATAGTTTGGTGGTACAGGGCATGCTTAGCCCTCAGTTTGATCTCCAGCACCAAGGCAAAATAAAACAAAAAAAAATATGAGAGTGGGTGAGGTTACTTAGGGAATGAGCATAAATGAAGAAGGGAGTAGTTCCCATAGTCAAGTCCTGGGCCATTATAGTGTTGAGAGTTTGGGGAGATAGGGATGATCAGCAAGGAAGACCAAGAAAGAACTGCCAGTGAGATGGAAAAAGAACTAAGTTCCAGTGTATTTGGAAAGTGAAATGGACAGCAAGTTTCCAAGATGAAGGGATTAACTGTGTGAAGTGCTGATGATCAATATGAAGACTGTCGATCACCTTGATTAGGTCAATTTTGATGGAGAGTGGGGGACATGTGCCTAAGTGAAGTGAACTTTAAATAATAGGAAATAAGGAATTGGAGACTGGGTAGAGATGACTTTGGGTGTTGTGCTGCAACAAGGAGCAGCTGGAGGGAAATGCAGTGGTGCTGTAGTTGGAGAAGTGTGGATTCAAATGCAGGTTTTGCTTTGTTTTTTAAGATGGATAAATTACAACATGTACCTATGCTGATGGAAAGAATTCAGTGGAGAGGAAGAGATTGGTGATGTAGGAGAAAAAAGAAAGGCTGGAATTGAGTCCCTGAACAGGCAAGGGTGCTCAAGAGTCTGCAGTCTCTAGTCAGTCTTTGGGAGAAACTGGATTGGACTGAGCCCTGGCACAGAGTCAGGGGTGAGTGCCCTGATATTGGCTTTGGATGACCACTGGGAAGATGCATCAGGTAGGGTACAGGCCAGAGATTGGCTTGGATTTGAAGTCTCCCTCTGCTTCCCAAAAGCAGATTCTAATTTGGATATGAATAGATGGCCCAGAAGAGAGGGCAATACAGTAGATACTGGCATAAGAGGCACTCAGGCATTCAAATTGACAGAGGACAGGTGGGAACGAATGTGTAGGTGAAGCCATGTAGGAGAGTGGTACCAAGAAGATGCAGTAAATAGAAGGCATCCCCTGAGAGCCCTCTTATCTATGGTTCATCCAGGCAGCTGAGGCTGCTCTCTGTCTACTCTGGGTGAGCGCTGAGCACAGAGATTAGAATCATGAGTAGGGACCCAGTCCTTGCCCTTTGCTCACAGGCTGAGGGAATTATAGTAAGCACCATCTAGGTGGGTATGTAAAACTGTCTCTCTTGCTTTGTTCCAGCCCATGTTACTTGCATGAGCTTGCTAGAGGGAAAGGACACTGGAATGGGGGTAGGAGAACAACTACCCATACCCTTGGCAGCAGACCTTGGGCCCACCAACAGCCCAGCAAGGCCAGTGTGGAGCCTATAGGGCCTTCAGCTCCTCTGACCACACCCACTCATGCTGATTTCCACATCCTTCTGTGTCCCCAGAGGTCAACAGTGTGGGAAGTTGGAGAGACCCAGCTGGATGTGACCTTCAGGACAGAATGGTGCTGGACTCGGGGGCTCAGGTGTATGAGCAGGCACCCCCCAGTCTGCCTGCCAGTCCCCAGTCCCTGCACCATAGGCTAAAGAGCCCAGACCGAGATGGGCCACCCCTGTACCCCTGGCCTCAGTCCCTGGCTGTGCCTTTGGCTCTGGCAGTCCCCTCAGGGCTACAGCCCCAGCCTGAGCAGCAGCCCTTCTCAAAACTGCATTTGGGCCGTGGCCACATGCGAAGGAGTGAGAGCACCTACACTGTAAACAGTGCTGGCTGTCGAGGGCGTGGCACCCGGGGACCAGCCCCTCCTGGACAGGGACGGGGTGCAGGTAGGGGTACCCTGCGGGCTGCAGCCTCTCTGCCTCACATTGCTAAGACTCGAAGGGATGCAGGTGGTGGTACCAAGAGCCCCTGTATGTTGGTGGCACTGAGGCCAACCAATATGGACCGTGAGAGGGACAAGTTCTTCCAGTCCCATTACACCTACAACCCACAGTTCGAGTACCAGGAGCCCATGCCCACCACTGTGCTGGAGAAGTACTGTGAGGCCTCTGGACAGTTCATCCATCAGGTCAGTCCACCCTGCCCACCTTACCCTGCCCCTGACAACTCAAGGGACCTAGCCTGACAAGCTACTGTGGCCTGTGTGCAGGCAGTTGGAATCATTGAGGCTGTTCTGGAGAAGTTTGGCACCTATGAACACTTTGAGGCTGCCACCGGGGGCCAGCTGCTGACTAAGTGCCAGATTTGGTCCATTGTGCGCAAATACATGCAGAAAGAGGGATGCGTTGGAGAGGTGAGCTTTCCTGCCTACACAGCCCCTAACATGCCCCAAATCAGTCTGTCTGGCAGGTGGTCCCAGGCCCAGCTTCACACCTGGCCAGCAGGTGATCCGAGACAAATCCTGTTCTTGCCTCAGGGAGGTGGGAGGTAGCTCTGAGTAGAAGTGGTAAAGGGTGCCCTGAACAGTGTCTAGCTTGGCTGACCTTGGCATTGATGGGTCCACCTACACAGCGACCCCAAGGCTAGTAACCATGGCTCAGTACACTGCCATCTGCAGGTTGTGGTGCAGCTGAGTGAGGACCTGCTGTCTCAGGCTGTGATGATGGTGGAGAACAGCCGACCCACACTGGCCATCAACCTGACTGGAGCTCGCCAATACTGGTTGGAGGGCATGCTTCGCCATGAGATAGGTCAGGCTGGGGGTCATGGGTAGGTGGGTAGAGGGGTGGAGATGAGAAAGGGCTGAAATCTGGGGAGTGGGCAGTGAGGGGCCCCAGTAACCCCCTCCTTTGTTTCTCCCTCTTCCCTCTGGAGGAGGACAGGCCCTTGCCCTTCCTGAACAGCTGCCTCCTCCCTCTGGCTCACAGAGGTAGGCCAGAACACACCTGCCCACTCTCCGGATTTACCCTAATCTCTTGTTCCTTTGGGGGATGTCTTTTTCTCTCTCTGATTTCCTTTGACAGTGGGGCAAGGCTGCTGAGGCTCTGACAGGCCAGAGGGAGAACCCTGAGGGTCCCACCAGCCCAGCCAACTGACAGGCCCTCTAGGGTGGGTGGTAGGCCAGATCCTAGAAATAGAATTGTTTGAGGTCACACAGAGTATAATTTAGGAGCAGGCAGACCAGGCTGGGAAGGAGGGCACAGGACACTAATCACTATTCCTTTCTGTCTTTCCTTCCTCATAAAGAATCCTATTGTCCTGGGCAAGAAGTGGTTTTGCTGGGGGAATCAATGTGATTATCTAGTGATTGATGAGGGCATGCAAGATATTGGGGCTGGGTGGTGTGTGTGTGTTCCTTCTCTCTAGGAAAGCTGGAGGAAGCAGGGGTGGGGTGGGGGTGGAGGGACAATATGAGTTGGGATAGGGACATAGGGACGGGGAGAGAGAGAATAAGAGAATATGCTGAGATGGGTGGAGGAATATTCATGCATGAGTCTGAGTCTGTATGAGCCCTTGGGTGCAGGTTCTTCTTTGGAGGGTCTTCACGCAGCTTGGGGTTTGGTGAGTATGTTTGTCTGGGGCTGGGGCAGCCTGAGTTTGGGGACGTGAAGATACTAGAGTCGCCACTAGAGGTCCGCAGGGTGGATTCTCCAGACACCCCGCGCCCAGCGCAGCTTCCCCGTCGCCCTCTCCGCAGGCACTCACTACCTGCGGGGCGTGAACAATGCACAGCAACCGTGGCACAGCACCGAGGGCCGGTTGCAGTATGGGCTGCGGCCAGCCAATCCCACGGAGGAGGGTCTGGCCAGCTTGCACAGCGTGCTGTTTCGCAAGCAGCCATTTTTGTGGCGCGCAGCTCTGCTCTACTACACCATCCATCGCGCCGCGCGCATGTCCTTCCGCCAGCTCTTCCAGGACCTGGCGCGCTACGTGCAGGACGCTGACGTTCGCTGGGAGTACTGCGTGCGCGCCAAGCGTGGCCAGACCGACACTTCCAAGCCTGGTGGGCAGGACGCAGGGTATTGACTTGGGCGGAGGCGAGGGTTGGGGCTCCACCTCAAGAACTCACTGGCTCCTGCACTCACAGGCTGCTTCAGCAAGGACCAAGTGTACCTGGACGGCATCGTGCGTATTCTGCGGCACCGCCAAACCATTGATTTCCCACTGCTGACCTCGCTGGGCAAGGTGATGACTGGGTTCCCGGTCTGCCCTCCCACTTTCTGCAATATTCCTTGCACCTCTGATTCTTGCTGGACTGAGATCCGAGTGTCTGACCTCTCTGGTGCGGGAAGCATGGATGGGGTTGAGCAGAGGAGATGAAATGACTTTCTAGTCATTTCATTTCATTTTAATTCAATCAAAAGTAGGTACTTGACCCAGCTTATAGGGTTGTGTAGGTGCAGCATTTCAAAGGAGGTGAGCATTCCAGGCTAAGGGAATAATTAGGAAGGCCTGGGGAAGGAGGCTGGACAAATGGCCAGGGACCACCAAGTCTCGGGTCTCTGTGCCAGGCAGAGAAGAGTGGATCTCATTTGAAGCAGTGGGGAGCTGGAAGAGCTTTAAGCAGAAAGTATGGTGCAGTTATTTGCTTTCGAAGGCTCCCTCTGGAGTTATATGGCAGGGGAACTGAAAAGGGAGTCCTAGGGAAGAGAGTATGCTGGCAAGAAGAAGAGGCTGTCTTGTCACTCTTACAGATTGATGATGATGGCCTTACCAGGCATGATCATGTATTTAGAGAGGAAGGGTCAAGCTGGAGAGCTCTTTGGAAAGTGGATATTCCTTTATCTCAGTGGCTGCCCTGAGTGGGAGGGTGAGAGTCCAAGCATCCTCCCTGGACCTGACCTGGGTGACTGAAGAGTTGGGCTGGTACCCAGATGTTGACTATGAGGAGGTGCCTTAGAGCTAGATATTCAGGGGAAAGTGTTCAGGAGGCATTTGGATACCTATATCAGAAGATAGGAGAATAAAAGAAAATGTTGAGAGAAAGAACAGAGACCCAGGTCTGAGCTTAGAGGTACATAGCATGGGCATGGGACTGTGGGTGTGGTGGGTTGATGGGAAGAAGGAGCCCTGGGAGCAAATGGCCATGAGCCATCAGCAGAGCTGGGACCACCTGTCTAAAAGCCAGGAGCTCTGTCTAGCTCTGAAGCTCAGCTTCCTCCCTGCAGGTCTCCTATGAGGATGTGGATCACCTACGGCCCCATGGGGTGCTGGATAATACCCGAGTGCCCCACTTCATGCAGGACTTGGAACGCTATCGGCAGCAGCTGGAGCACATCATGGCAACCAATCGCCTGGATGAAGCAGAGCTGGGCCGCCTGCTGCCTGATTGATGTTTATTGAGGGCTGTCAGCAGAAGTCCTATGCAGAGGCCTCCAGATCAGCCCCCAGAATAAGAAGCTGATTGCTCTGTGCTTCTACAGCCTGGGTGTTTCTTGGGGGCATTGGGAGGCCAGGAGCATTCTGGAAGGACAGGCAGCAGCATCAGAGGTTTTTGTCCCTTGATAGTCTTCCTGGTGCCTGTGGACCAGGCAGCATTTCTGGCAAATTGTTGAGCAGAGGGGAGTCCTGGGGACAGGGGGGGGGGGTGTTGAGTGTTAATGGGAATAAGGGGTGGTTTGGGAGTAGAAACTTGTTTTTGCATGAGATGCTTTGGGTGTCCAATATTCCAGTCTGTCCCTTCCCCCACCTTGCCCCTTGGTGCTCCTTCAGCATTCCTGCTGTCTACCTCTTACTGGGTCCTGGTGGGGGTTGGGATCCCTTCTTCTGGGGTGATTGCCTGCGCCTGGGGTTGGCTTTCACACAGGCTCAAAGGGCAGGGGTCCTGATGGTATAGACCCAGCTGGGCTGGGGTTTGCTTTCCAGCATTTTTGCCTCTTTCACTGGTCATGTGTTTATTCAATACTTTTGTGTTCTACTGCCTGGAGCTTGGAGGTAACAGTGGAGGGACAGGACACTACTGGAAGGTATCAATTGTTTCTACTTTACCTTCATTATACACACATGGACACATACATGCTGGGCTTCAGGTCTTGTGCATCGAGCCCAAAAGCTCACCTGACCCTTGCACTGGCCTCTGCTCTTCCTGTCTTTTCCCACACTTTCCCAGTTGGTCTTAGGCAAGAGTTGGCATAGCCTGGGAGCAGCCACCCGCAGGCCCATTAGGTTTATTGTCCTGGGCCAGGAGAAATACACAGCTGATTGTTGCTTAGACTCAGCTACGTGAGGTTGACCCAGTCCCATTCCTATCCCAGGCCTTAGTTTTCCCATCTATAAAACTTGGAAACACAGCTGGAGAGTTCTTATTCATTTAGTCAACACATATGTATAGAGCACCTTGTGCCAGTTACTGGTTAAAATTCTCACTGAACTCCCAGTTCAGAGGGAAGCCAGACAATTAAAACGGCAATTAAAATTACACGTGTGGCCTCTGTCTACTTAAGGTCCTTCTAATTCCCCTCTAATCTCAATTTCAAAGGCTGTGAACTCTTGAGCCCTCCCTAGAGGGCTCTGACTATCTGTCCCTAGATAGTCAGAGTCCTCTTCCCTTGCTTCCTGCCCCAAGCCCAGTTTCTTCCATAGAATGGGGCCAGTGTCTAAAAAGTTCCCCAAATGGCTCACGAAGGGAAAAGAACAGGTTTCAGGTCATCCTACTATATGGGTCTAGCTCTGAGATCACCTACAGCATGGGCTGTTGTGTGTGGAATGGGATTGTGAACTAGATGTTGGAGTGTTGTGGGGGCACCAGAATGTTCAGGTTCTTAGAGACATAAACCACCCTAAAAAAAAAAAAAATTAAAAAATGCCTAGGTTAGTTAGAGTTTATTCACTTCCAATAAGACATAAGATGATGGAGCTTTGGTGGCACTGGATCCAGCTCCAGCATAATCCCAGGTTCTATCTTACTTGGGCTTGGGCAGGAAATGTCAGGTCAGTATTCTGGCCTTCAGGTAGTCTGGCCTTCAGGAATCTAGAAAGGAAGAGACAATAGTCAACTTCCTGAGCTATGCCCTCTGCTAAACCACTACAGAGTTTGCAAGGCCTCACACCTTCAGACTCATCCCCCTCCTCAAAGTCAGGCTCAGGCTCTGGTTCTGGATCTGCCTCCGGCTCTGGTTCTGGATCCATTTGGGGTTCTGGTTCTGGCTCAGCCCCTTCAGAGGCCTCAGCTTCCTGCTCTGGCTCTGGCTCCTCTGGAGTTCCGGATTGCACTGCTTCAGAGCCCTCAGGACCTCCTGCCTCATAGTGATCTGAAACTCTGGGCAGCCCGGGACACACTGTCCCCGAACTGGGTGCCTCGGGCGTCCAGTGGCCTGGGCATGGAGGGTCATAGCTGCGGTCCCGGTAGCCTGGGGCAGAAGTGGGAGGTCTTTCAGGCTCAAGTTATCTTTCTGCAATCCTTAGCACACACACACACCTACTTTTGGGGGATACCACGATTCCAACCCTCTGTTAGCCTTTGCTTGGCTCCCAAGCCACGCCCCTGGTCTACGTGCGCTCACCAGGGCCCACGTGCTGCCAGTCCCAGGCTGGGTCTGGCGCGCGCAAGGTTTGCTGGGCGCAACGCAGCAGCTCCTGGCAGGCGGCCTCGCCCTTGCTCTGCACCACCAGCAGCAGGAGGCGCACCCTGCGCTCAGCATCAGGCAGTGCATCCAGTGCCTCATACTCTGGCCCGGTGAGCACTCCCCGTGCTACCAACGCGTCCAGCAGTAGTCCCGAGTCCGCCTGCAGCGTTTCCACCAGGCGTTTGCGCTCACGGTCAATGGTCTCCGAAGGCCGCTCCTGCGAGTTGCCCATGGTCCGGGCTGTACAGAGAGGGGGAGAGAAGTAGTGGGCACCGGGGGTCCTCCATTCCTGACCTCTCTTCCAGGATCCCAGTGAACATCCCTGGCTGTGGTCTAAATTCACCTTGACCTCAGCGGCCAGATGGCTCCGCAGCACTGGACTCGGGCACCACAGTACTGAACTCTTCTCCCGCCTCTTGCCTGCAGCTTCTCTCCAGTCTTCTAAGGCTCCTCCCCTCTCTAAACGTCAGTTGTAGGCTCTCCCAATCAGGGCCTCCCTCCTGAGCCCCAGCCTCCTGCAGATCCGACCGTAAGACCCAGTTTATCCAAACAAACGTCCGTCGCCGCCCCCGTCCCCGTATTGGGGGTTGAGCCCTGGGGTGCTTTACCACTGAGCTTCATCCTTAGCTCTTTTTAGTTTGAAACAAGGTCTCCTAAGACCCTTACTAAATTGCTGAATCTGGCCTCGAATTTGGAATCCTTCTGCCTTAGCCTTTAGTTGCTGGGATTTCAGGCATTTGCCACCACTTCTTGGTCTTTCTCCAGTCTGCTTCTCCATCTCAATTGGAGAAAAACCTAGGATAGACCCAAGGTTACAGCTTGCAGTCAAGTCCTTTCCAGTCTGACAAATATTTCTCTTGCCATTCTCACTTCTGAGTCTAGTCTTTTACCTCCTGCCTGGACCCTGCAGAACCCCTGGATCAGGATTCCTTGTTTACACAATCTGTCCTCCAGTACCCTCTGCACAAACTGTTGAGAGCCTGCCCTGCTCCTCTTTCAACTTGCCAGGACAGGCCCTCCTCCTCTACCCTCACCATCACCACCCAGTTCTAACCCCAACATGATCTCATGGCCCTTCTTGGTTCCCAGGTACCTAGCAGCGATACCTGAATCTTCCTGAATCCTACCTCTGACCAAGATCTCCTAACATCACCCAAGACCCAGTTGACTCCCTGCTGGCCTGGGAATGACTCACAGTCATCTCTTGTTTGATCTTGAAATACTGAGGGCCCAGCTCATGAAAGGTTGCTAAACTTTTTCTTCCCATTTTGAGACTGTCTCTACCAAACTGTAGGGACTAGGTAGAAATCAATCTGCTTTGTCTATTTATTACCAAGCAAGGACAACAGCCCATCTCTTTGCCAGCCTTAGCAAGGCCCCTGACATTAAATAAAGGGGTCAGGCCCTGGACCCCTCCCACCCTCTGCCCCTTTCCCTGCCTTGGCTTTATTTACACAGCATCCTTCCTGGTCTCTTCTTCCCATGTAGTGTTCCTCTTTTCCCTCCTTTCCTGGTTTATAGAGTCTTCGTCCCCATTTTGCCTCCCAGGTCTCTTTCAGAACCCCTTAGTGTCAAGATGTGCTTCCTTTGGTCACTTCACATTCCAGCCACCTCTCCCTCCACTCGTGTGTGTGTGTGTGTGTGTGTGTGTGTGTGTGTGTGTGTGTGTGTGGTGCTGGGGATTGAACCCAGGGCTTTGTGTATGTGAGGCAAGCACTCTACCAAGTGAGCTATATCCCCAGCTCCTCTCCCTCCCCTCTTATCAAATTGTCAGCCTATCCCCCAGATTCAAGCACAGATCAGAACTACCCTTGACCCTCCATCTCCCTTCGTGTCTAATCTGTGACAAGCGTATCTCAGTGTTTCCATCAGCTCCTGCCTGTCAACCCCACCATTCACTTCATCTCCTGTAACAGTCCCTCTGAGTACTTCTCATTTTAATTCCACCATCCCTCAGCATAGTGACTTTGACAACTCTCTGGGGTAGGATTTATTGTTCCAATTTTACAGCTGAGGAGATAGACTCAGAGAAGCAAAATAGAATTAGATTCTGACTTGCTCCAATCTGAACTATACCAAGGTCTCCTGTCAAGCAGAATGTCAGGCTTTACCCCTTATTCCTGCCCCTACTGCTTATCTTAGCTTAGCTATCTGGTCTGGTTATTCTAGCTACCACTCACCACTCAGAACAGTGAGGCTCTTCTCTACTTCTCCCCACCACTCTGTTCTGGGAAAACTCACTATGTTCCTGGTATCTCTGAGTCTTTGCTGATGCTGCTCCCTAGGCCTGAAATACCATTCCCTCCCTCCACTCATGGACCCATCCTCCAACACTCAAATATTCTCTTGTCCACCCCAATGCCAGAGTGTTCAAGGGCAGATGGTTCCTTCTGTGCACTCCAGTGACCAGCATCTCGCCTCACTACTTCATTAACTGACATCACTGCACGTGTACACAGAGATCCTCTGTTCTCCTGGACTGAGGCTTCCAAAGACTGTCCCCCTTTGCAGGGCACGGAAGACAGAGGGGGCCAGCACCTACTCTAGCCAGACAGAGAGAAAGGCTATAGACCTGACTGGCCCCTCCTTCTCCCTCCGGCTTCCTAGGTTGTTTTACGTTAGTCGCCTCCTCCTGTTAACCCAAGCCCTGACTTTAGTCCTGCATGGGGAGCAGAGACCCCGGCTGTTCTGGACCCTCCCTTTGAAACTTTCATAGCTCGAAGGTGAACATCGAAGTTATGTCGCCGCTAGTTCTCTCAAGTGACAGGCCCAGATGTTTCCCGGAGCTCCAGGTAGCGAAGCGTGGATTTGGGTGAGGCCCCCAATCCCCAGCTGGCGGTGAGGGTTCAGTTGCAGCCGAGCTCCGAGGGTCGTGGAAACTGCGGAAGCCGTTGCGCATGCGCGACCGTAGGGTACCCTGACCTCCCCTCCACCCAGTCCCAAGCTAGAGTCCTGCGGAAGGGCGGGGCCCACAGACCTGCGAGCGCCGCTGCGGGTGGTGAGGCTCGAAGTCGGCCCAATCTGAGATTCCCTTGCTTCCTCTGCCCGGTGGAGTGGGGCTCGCGGTTCGGCCCGTTTCGGGCGGCCCGCTCCCGGGTTGAGCCTCCGCGGGGCAGGAGATGACAGTGCAGAAAGGGCCGGGAGGGGTGGGGACCGGTGCAGCAGCTGCTACGGGGGCGGGGCGGACGGGGCTGCCGGGAATGGGGGGGGGGCGTTCTTCCCCGCTGCTGAGAGTCTGACTGCGAGGTCGCGCCCTGGCTGGGCACGTTCTCATAGTCCGCTTTCCCTCCCCATCCCGGACGCACTGGACACGAGCCAGGGAGGAGACAGTTCGGCCGCGATCCCACACATCCTGTACCCACACTAGGCTTGCCCATTCCCAGGAGCTTTCCATCTATCTTCTCATCAACCCCTGCTCTCTGCCTGTCACAGATGGGGTTCAGAGAAGGGGCCCGACTTGTCCAGGGTCATATAGAAAGTGCACTGTGGAGCTGGATGCGACCCGAAGTCCCCGCTTCCAGGAGGTTGCAGTGGCCAGGCTCAAGCCCCGAGGAGTTAGGGGCTGGCTCCCCAGCACCATGGCTCTCCAAAGGTTCTCTATTAAAGCCTTCTGGGATCTCTGCAAAGCTGCTCATCCCACCCCCTGAGTCTTGGGCTCCCTCGACGATAAAGAAAAGACACCAGAAACACAGAAAAAGATGCAGTTTATGTGCACGGCTCTGATGGGGGTAAATGGAGAAAGGCCGCTAAGTAGTGGGGGATAGGCTCACCCCTGTCCCCAGGGGACATCAAAAGATCCCTTCAGAGGCTCATGGGTCTCAGGGGGAGGGACTGGCCCTTGGGCCCAGGTAGGAGGTCCGGTTCTCAGGGGTGCTATAAATGGTTAAAGCCCCGGGCACAGCCAGGGCTGGGCCTCCCAGATCTGCCTGGACGTCCAGCAGGAGTGGGCCCCCAAGCGTGGAATCCTTTCCTAGAAAGAGCGAGGCTGTGTTCAGCAGGAAGGAGTGTTCCCCCTTCTTTCCTAGGGGAGGAGAGCCCTGCCCCCTGACTTCTGGTCAAGTCAGGATGAAACATCATTCTTAACCTTCCCATTCTCACCCAATGGTGAAGGGAAGGGGAGCTTCTGAAGGATCTACAGGGCAGCCTGAACTCAGGGAATCTCCCTGTAAAACCCAAGCGGCCTACTCCACCAATCATAGCAGTTCAGCAGTCATGGCCTCCCTCCTACATCCTGAGTCCCCACAACCATTACCTGGACCTGGAGAACTCAATCCCTTGACTGCCAGCTCAGCTTCACCTCTCTCTGGAACCAAGGGCTGCATCTGCATGGGAGAACCCCAGGAAGGAGTTGGGGAGGGAGCCCAATAGCTGGGGAAGAAACCTGGGGACTCACTTGGGCAATTCTCAGACATGGCTTTGGCTCTCTGAGAACAGCTATGGACCAAAGGGTGTGGCCCTCCCCAGCCCCATTTTACCAGGGACAGCTCCATGTCCAAGTCCATCAGGGTCCATTCTCGCCCTGGAAGGCTGGGGCCCAACACCTGGGAAAAGTTCTGGGTTAGTGCTTGCCTCTCAGGCTATGCAGACAGCAGGAACCAGAAGTGCATGTGCTTCTATGCCAGAAGTACTCACATCTAGGGGTGCTGCAGGCTCCACACTTTCAGGGGGAGGCCGAAGCAGCATCGAAGGCAGCAGACTCTCTGGGCTCCTGTTACCCTGCTCCAGACCCAGAGGTCCCCTGTGCACAAAAATCTGCTGTTGGCCTGTAGTGCTCACCCCCTATTAAGTTCCCAAAGAACCTGGATGCAAGAGGATTTAAATCCCCCAACATCTAGAAAATGCCACTCTCCTTTCCTCATAAATGGACACAGAATGTCCCTGCTTCCTCTAGGACTTGAAGTCTTAGGACAGATCCTCTCTCTATGCAAGTATAAATTCAAGGGGCTCTTAAACTACTGTGTATATTATAATCATTCCATTGAACTCATTTAAAAATGCAGATTCCTCAGTCCTACCACAGAGGAGCTGGGTGATCTGACTAGGAGTTCCTACTTTGTTTAGGATTTGTATGTAGGTGCTCCTTGGAGCATATTCTGAGAAATCATAAGTGCCCAATATCCTCCTCAGCCACCAAGGGGCAGACAAAGTAGGGAAGTTTCATGGGCCAGAGTGTTGCTCTATCTGCAAAAGTGGCCTGCAGGACTCACCTCAAGAATGGGCTCTGCTTACCTGTCAGGTACCTCCCTGGGGCCCCTTGGTTCAGGCTGTTGGACACTCCTGGGCCCCTCAGGGCTGAAGCTCCCTTTCCCTTCCAGGATGGCCTGTACCACAGCCACAGGCAGCGGTGGGGGGGCTGTCACGCAGAAGTCACACTCGTTTGGGGCCAGGGCCAGCCCGGCCTCGCCATCCCCCCCTGGACTGGCCGGCTCTTCTTTGAGCAGTGCCAGGCCCTTCTCCCTGTACCAGAGAAAAGCTTCAACCAGACCCTGGCACTGACCTCGCCCCCACCCCTACAGCCATCTGGGCTGCCAGGCCCTCCCAGACAGGCTCCCCAGAGGGCAGCCCCTGTCCTCCTTACCTCCTGCCACCACTGGAGGGAGAAAGCCTGGGCCCTTCAGGGGATGGAGAGTCTTCTGGGATATCAGAGATGATGGGGCCCCTGGCCCTGTGAGGGCTGAGGCCCAAGGTAGTCTCTGGGAGGGGCTGTAAATAGAAAACTAGACCCAGTCCTTGACCTCTACCACTGGGAAAGCTAGAACCCAAACAGCACCCATCTGGACTATAGGGCCTAAGGGGCAGGGTGTGAGGGGGAAGGCTCAGTCCATGCTGGGGAACCTGGGTCTGTTTGGTGGGAAGGTTGGCTTCCATCTTCTTTGGGGGGAAATCGGGAGAAGAAACAGCTGTGCTTTAGAGAAAGGGGAAAAAGAAACCTACCGACTGGATAAAGTAGGGGTCCTGCAGGAGGGCACCAGGCAGGGAGCAGGCATTGAATTTGGCAGGTGTTGGGCATGAGTTCCCTTCATCCAGCATCAGGGACCTATACAGGATGACCAGGGTCCCTCAGGGTAGGGGCAGGGTCAGTCCCCATGCCCCTCAGCCTACACTTCCCTCCCTCCCTCCCTCCCTCAGGCCCCAGCAGCCAAGTCAGCAGAGCTGAGGCCTGTTGCCAGGGCATCAGTCACATGCTAGAGTGGAAGGGGCTCCCCCCCAGAGATGGGGGCCCTTTGGGGGTAGAGGAGAGGGAGGGAGTATGGTTTGAGCCCCAAGCTCTGCGGTTGGGATGTTTTGGGGGGAGGGGAAGGGATTGCTGGTGTGGGAATTTGGAGGTAAGGTCCTGGGAGTGGGAGTACCAGATTGTGGTGTTGGGGGAGGGGGAAAAGTTCCAGATGAGTTGAGGAAGCTGATGTGCAGCCAGGAGTAGGATTGAGGGTTCTGCCTGAAGGAGTTTCTGGAAGAGAAGGGGTCCCTGCCAGGGGTCTTAGGCAGAGAGAAGGTCCTGAAAGTGGAGAATTGGGGGTGAGCATCCTTGGCTCTCACTCACAGCTTTCTCTTTGTTCCTGCACTACTGGGCCCAGCCTGAAGTGGTCCAAAGAGGCACTGGATCAGCTGAAGAGGAAGAGAAGGGCTTATTCCTATTTTGGACACTCCCCTCACCCTAACAGGCAGTTCCAGGTGGGTTTGAGAAAGGGGCTAATTTGGATGCTAGAGGACTGGGTGTGGAGGGGTGCCCAGGAGTGAGAGGGAGAGGGAGGTAGAAGAAGAGGAACACCTTGCCAATGACCCGGTGCTGCTGACCATGGCTCTGCCGAAGTGTCACCACTTCCCGCCACAAGATCTCGTTCTGCCTAGGGGCAGGGGTGGGAGGGTGCTGAGGCATCTGAGTTCTCTCAGACACTCTCCCTCCCAAAACACACACACACACACACACACACACACACAGAATGGCACAGCAGGGAAGGGACCTGGGTCACTACCCCAATAATCATCCACCTTATGGAGAGTCTAGAGTTCCACAACTGGGCCCATTTGTCTGGAAGGAGTTGCTGAGACCCAAAAGCTGAAGGGGCTGCCCAGAACCCTCTGGTGGCCAGCATCCTCTCACCCAGAACCTCCCACCAGGGCCGCCCCTCCCCCGCACTGCCTGAGCTCCCGAAGCCGCGCCTCAGTGTTCTCCTGCACTCCCCGCAAAGCCTGCACCTCGCCCAGCAGCCGACCAAGGTCTTCAGGGCGCCAGCGACCGTCATCGCTGCGCAGCGCGGGCACCTGCAGAAGGTACACCGCAGAGGCAGAATCTCGTCGAACAGGGCCAGCAGTTCTAACACCCCACGCGGGTTTACTCATTTCTGCTGGCTGTCCCTACCTTGCGCCGCACGCGCTCCAGTAGCTGCTCCCTGCCACGCACGAAGCTCGGGTGCTGGAACTCGACGTGGTCGCGCTCCGGCCTAAGCAGGCCACCCTGCTCGATGCTCACTACCTTCCGAAAACCATCTGGAGAGTGGGGCGTGGGGGGCGGGGGTGAGTCGTTCCATCTTTGGCACCAAATCACCCACACCCTGTCCCCACCCGGCCTGAGGGACTCACACATGTTGAGTTGACGCACAAAGCTCGCCATGTTGCTGTGCTTGAAATACTGGGGCAGCACTTCTTTGGCGAAGCGGCTCTGATCGCTTACAAGGAAGCTGGTCCCACTCTACCGAGAATGCCGCCCACCCGTGGTGCGGGTAGAGACCAAACTTGGTGAGTGGCGCCCGCCCACCATCAGGCCGGCGCTCTAGCGCGCGCGCACACACTCATTCACTCAGGGGTCAGTGCCGCTCATGGGAATATGGAAAGGCCGGGCCAGAACCACCTGAGGCCTGGCTCCGGACGACCACAGTGAATCCCTACCCCTAGCGTAACCCAGACTCGGTTCTCAAAGAGGAGTAGCAGAGGCCAACCCTGGTTCCACCTCGGACCCGTCCCAGACCCGAGCCAGAGCCAGAGCCACGATGTGACCCTGATTGAGCCAGTGCCAGCCCTCCCTTCTCTCGGTCTGTTTTCCGATCTGTCTATGGGGTGGGGTCATTTCATTCTCATTAAATGACCTAGGAGATGCCTCTGGCTCCAGGTCTCCAGGAGGTTCCTAACCCTTCCTCCGCCCCCGAGGAAGTCGCCT